ATGGTTCCTTGTAAGATACATCCAGCTATTCATAAAGAACATTCTCATCACAAGATTCTACATTAGATCCCCATCATCCAGTGAGAGTAGTCACATGCTTGGTTGTCTCAACTTTAGTTTCATATTCTGATTCATCATCAGACCAAGACACAGAATGACCCTTCTTTTGTTTCTTTAAGAAGGTGGGACATTCTGACCTAATATGGCCAAAGCCTTCACATTCAAAACATTGAATAACTTTATCTAGACTAGGATTTTCTTTAGTTCTGGTTATTCTCTGAAAATCATAGTTCTTGTTGGTGTCAGATGAGATGTTCTTGACATTTGGTCTAGCTCTCCTGTCTATTCTCCTTAGCACTTTGTTGAATTGCCTCTAAGTAGTACAATATAATTTTACATTCCTTACTTAGTATCCATGTCACATTGACTTTCTCATCTTCAGTGTAGGATAAAAAAGCTATGCTTTTGTTTTTCTTCTCAGAGTTACCATAGATAGCTAATTCAAATGTTTGAAGTGACTCAACAATTTCATCCACTCTCATGATGCTGATGTCTTGAGCTTCTTCAATAGTTATCACCTTCGTTTCAAATCTCTTAGGTAGAGATATGAGAATCTTTCTAACCAGCTTCTCTTCAGTCATATTTTCTCCCAAATCACTAATAGAATTTTTTATGTCAAGGATGTTAATGTGAAAGTCATGGATGCTTTCATCCTTATTCATATTTAAATTTTCAAATTTGATAGTAAGAAGCTGAAGTCTAGACATATTAACCTTAGATGAGCCTTCATGAGTAGTTTTAAGAAGTTCCCAAGCATCTTTGGCCACAGTACATGTGTTTATTATTCTGAATATGTTTTTGTCAACTCCATTGAATAAGGAATTTAAGGTTTTGGAATTTCCAGGAGAAAGTTCATCTTCTTTAGACTAGTCTTCTTCTGGCTTCAAAGTTTCCTTTCCATATTTGTCCTTCACAACAGGATGGTCCTAAATCTACTTCTAAACTTTTATTTATAGTATAACTTAATAACTGATTTTAAGCGGTCTTCTATCCATCGTGTGCCACGTCCCTACTGTTGTTTTGCTAACTGTAACGCCCCGATATTTAATTATTTATTTAATTAAATATTGTTTTGAATATTTTATATTAATTCAAATTTTTATCGTCGAAGTCAGAATTATTTTATTTAGTGGCATGATAAATAATCAGATTTAATTTGGTGGAATTAAGTTGCAGTATTATTTTTTATTATTTAGCTTAATTATTATATTAGGCTTAAATTATAGTGTTGTTAAGTAATAAGGGGGTATGTCACTTAGGCCCATTTAGATTTATTATGGGATAAGTAAAAAAATACTATTATATTAGAAATAGAATTAGAGGAGAAAGAGAAGATAGTGTTATCAAGAAAAGAGAAAAAGAAGAGAAAGAGGAATAGGGTTTTGAGAGGAGAAGAAGAACAAGAGGAAGTTGCTACTAGTGTCAAATTCCCAGAAATTCCATTGAAGATTCTTAGAGCTGCATTCAATCCAAGGTAATGGTGGGATTCTTTCTCTATAATTGGGTATATGATAAATGATATGTGGGGTTGGTTATATGAAATTGACTATAATCGATGAATTGATGCTTTGAATTGTGTGGTAATTGATGTATGTTGATAACAATGATAAATGGATGTTTGATTGTGTATTATTTTATGAAGTTTGTATCTTTGGAATTGAAACATAATGGGTTTTCGTAATGCACTTTATATTATTCGTAAAACTGTTTTTCACAGGGTGCAATCAATTGCAGCAGAAGAGCAATCGATTTGCACTGCTTAAAAATTGGGATTTTTGCTTCTGTTTCAGTAAGCAATCAATTGCATCAGAAGAGAAATCGATTGTACGGCTTAAAAACGTGATTTTTAGCCTCTGGAACAGGGTGCAATTGATTCGCATGTTAGTGCAATCGATTGCTCACTGTTTGTCAGTATTTTTGAAAACATGAAAACTCCATAACTTTTGAATCGTAACTCCGTTTGATGCGCTGCTCGAAGCGTTGGAAAGTTAATGCGATGAACTATATTTATAAGGAGTAAAATTAAGGACAATAAGGATAATTCTAGTACCCAAGTTAGAATAGAGTTAGCTTTCCCGCGTTGAATCACCATGATGTTTTGTGGTGATGAAGTATGATGATGACATGACGATCTTATGATAATGCTTGGTTCATAATAATATCAATGATAATGATGATGTAGTATTATAGTATAACAATTTGTAGAAGTTTTGTAATTAGAAATAAGCATTTAGATAAGTAATTAACCGGTATAGTCGATAATTGTCCGAATAATTATGGGCAATATTATGTCGTAGGCCTATGGCCAATGTCGAATATGTTGTTGTTTATATGTTGTGATTGATAAGTTGATTAAGTTGTAGGCTTATGCCAATATTGTCGAATACATTGTTATTGTTGAATATGTTGTGATTGATAAGTTGATTAAGTTGTAGGCCTATGGCCAGTGTTGAAGCAATGATGAGTACCTCTAATTATTGGTATAGTGACGATATAGGCTTATGCCTTTGTGACGCTGATTGTTATTGTTGTATGTGATTGTTGCATTTATTGAGTCACATACATTTGCATTATTAAGTTGGCCTGGATTGGCACCATGTTGGCCTGGATTGGCAAAATATTAAGTTGAAGGCTTATGCCTTGTTGATGCCTCTATTTATTGGCAAATGTTTTTAAGTTGGGAGTTCTGTTCCAATGGTACCACATGCATGTGCATTGTAATTGAGTCGCATTTGATATTGCATCTTGAGTCGTGGTGAAGATAGATTTGTTGTTGCTTTATGTTGTTGACTTGTTGTGACAGGTATCACCTAAAGGTTGTGAATTAGTTGTTATGTCGTGTTGATGTTTTGTTGAGATTAAAGATCTTTGAAAGTTGTGAAGTGGTGATTTTACATGAACTGATTCTGATATATTAACTATTATACATTCAATTATATAGTTTGATATCTCACCCCTTCTGTTTGAATGTTGCCCTCTGATGGTAACGTGTAGGTAATCAAGAAGGATAGTTGTTACCTCATTAGTCAGAGTCGGTGTCGTCACTCTGATATGTAGCACTCGGGAGGATGAACGCTTGATGTTTAGTTGTTGATTATTATTTCTGTTGCTGAATCTTTAAGTTGTTTACATGAAGTAATTATTGTCTTAAAGTTATTTTAGTTGAATAAAGATGTTAAGTGAATTGAAGTTGAATATGTATATTCCGCTGCTTATCAATAAAGTTGTTTGATTTTAAAGAATAAATTGAGTTGTTATTAGTTCATCCGAGCTAAGTGTTATGTATCTATTGTATATGCGATTAAATGAAGTTTGTTTTTGAGTTGAAAATGTAGCATCCTATTTATGTTGAACTCTGATTTTATTATTATCCGTCGGATAGAAATGGGGTGTTACACTAACCGCTTCTACACGTCTTCCTGTCATACATTTGGTAATAAACGGTTACCTTGCCACATTTGTTCGTGGTTTGTTGTTGGTAACCGTCTTAGATCAGACGACTGTTCTTGTCGACTTATCTTCCCTTCTACGCCACAAAAATTATAAGTCCACATTTTTCCCTTAGCCAAGATTGTCGATTGTGACTCCAACCATCGTCAGGTCGACCTTTTCCTTCTAAACTGAGTCGTTCTCCTATTCTTTCCTCGCTTGACTTTTTAAGTGGATTTTTTGACTCTGTCAAAAATCTCAGCTAACAAATCTTTAACCGACTCTTACATGTATGATGTCTCACATGAAACTTGAAGTATGATTATAACAATAACTAACTCTACCTTTTTTGAACTTAATCATTGACTTAGCGTTAGAATAGTAACCTACAAATTCAATCCTCGCACAACCGTGTTGAAAATCTTCTCAACCGCACCAAGGCTTCGCTTCATCGTTTCATTGAACACTTGTGATTCCTTGAACGGAACAAATATCAAAATATTGAGTTTGATTTTTTTTTAAATATTTGTAAAATAATCGTTAATTCTACTTTAATTAATATAAAAGTCTCCATTTTTCTTTTTAAAAATATCAAGAGTAATACTTTTGTTATATTGTTCTTATAAATTATCAATGTATTTATTATCAATATAAATCAATATAAATAAAAAGGTATTAAAGTGAAAATAATAAATTTAATATTAAATTATAAATTTTACGTAAATAAATTAAGGTGAACATTTCGATACCCTTCAATTTGATTCAGTATTTGTATTCTTAACCAATTGAATTGAATAATTCAATATCATGTTAAATTTTTATTTTTACTTATTTTAAAATAAATTAAAATTTAAAAATAATTTATACTAAAAGTACCAATACCTAATTACTTATCATAAATATTTAAGAATTCGCTATAAATTAACTATTATGAGATACTCTCTGAACAAAAAAATGAAAATAAAATGTCTTTAAATTTATTAAATATCTAATGTATTTAAATTATATATAGATTAAATAGAGTATATATTTTAACTAACATATATTAATTAAATTAAATTAATGTAAATTATTTATTATATTTTTGTATTAATATAAATAAGTACTTGATATTTATAAGTCAAGAAAATTAAAAATTAAAAATAAACAAAATTTATTATAAGAAAGGAGTCGAGAAAAAACTCTCCACCCTTAATTAAACACCCATAAGTGTAGAAACACATGCATGAGCCAAAGTGACTTGTGATACTCCATTATTTTTGTCTTCCCATGAATACCCTATTATTGATTTGATTATTCCACATTAATAATTAGAATAAATTATAAAAGTGGATTGGATTCGGTATAAGGGTATCTAATTCTCATATATCATCATCACATAAGGACAAAACTAATAAAAAAGTCCATTTACCCCATTTTCTCTCTATATAAATCTCAATCTTTGAAGCAGTTAAAACACACATTCTTTCAATAAGCAAAGTTTGTGTTTCTTCTTGTGTTGTGAATTTGGAATGGTGTTGATGGATTTGGAATGGTGGTTTTCAATTCCAATTAGTGTTTCTTTTGGTTCAACAATGTTTACCCTGTTGAGTTTAGTTGGAGGATGGTTGATTTATCTGTATGGGCCATATTGGAGAGTACGAAAGGTACCAGGCCCACCATCACTTCCGCTGGTAGGACACCTTCACTTGTTAGCAAAGCATGGTCCTGATGTTTTCTCAATACTTGCTAAGCAATATGGTCCAATCTACAGGTTTGTTTACTTACATCTATGTATTCTATTTCTTGGATATGTCAAGATAATTAAAATTTAAAAAAAAATAGATATATTAAACAATTGATTCGGTTGAGAATAATAAATATGAATAGTGTGAAAAATTTTGATATTAATTATAATCGTAGAGACTTAAATATTTATAAGTGAGAGAACTCAGGTATCAATCATCTAAAATTTTAAACAAATATACATAGATGTGAAATATTTCTCTCAAAGTTATGTTTTTAAAAAAAAACTTCAAAATTAAAATGTTCTTTCATGTTGACTCATTGATATTTAATATATTTAAAAAATTATTTTTTTATATTAAATCTCAGAAGATGCATTATTAAATATATTAGTTATTAAGTAAAAAATTATAATAATGGTAAGAGGAAGTGTAAAAGATAAGTTATCATATTATAATTTAATTGTCCTTTTTCTATTATGATTTCCAAATAAAATTATATGAAGGGCCGGCTGACACAAGCTTTGTATGCTTTTAGATTATATTTTATTAAAATAAAATATATTATGTATATGTTTTTGTCTATTTTTCTGAGGGTCAACGTCAGTCGACTTATTATAATAAAGTGATAGTTTTGTTTTTTTATTGTTTTTTGGAAGAAAAAAAATTTTAATTTTATCTCGGAGTTCAATTTGTTCTTTTATCTTTTAAAAATGTAAAACAATCTTATAAGTCTTTAAAATGGAGCATGTTAGTCTTTTCATCTGAGTCTGTTAGTCAGAGTAAAAGAAAACGTCCAAGTGTCACTGTAATATGTTGATGTAGAATACTATGTGTTTAGACCAACTTTAATGACGGAAAAACTTGTCGTTTTATTTGTGAATCTTGATTCAAGATTCATCTTCAACATAATATAATAACCCAATGCAACAAAAACCACGTATTGAAACAGATTTAGTTATAATCAATCACTCATCATAATAACACAAAGCAAAACACAAACAAAAAATTACTCAAGATTAATATCAAGAGTCTGAGCATACATATAATTAGGATTGTTCATGGTACGGTTCTTTTAGAAAACTAAATTAAATCGAATCGAACTATTATATAAGGTCATCTGAATCAAACCGAACTATTTTAGTTTTTTAGAACCGAACTAAACCAAAAATTTTAATTTGGTACAACGGTTCGGAATTCCGAACTATATTAAACCATTATAAGACATTTTTTTCAAAATCGAATCATTTGTTAAGTAACCGAAGGGTTATACTTGATTTTCTTAAATCTATTTTTTTTTTTCAAAAAAATCGACTTCTTTTTATTTCCATCAAAAATTAACGTCTTTATTTTTCGAAAATAATCGATTTTATTTTTTTTGAAAAAATCAATTTTTAATTTTCGTCAAAAACAACTTTTTTATTTTTCGGGAAAAATTGACTTTTTTTTTATTTTCACCAAACATCGAAATTATTATTTTTTTAAATTATTTTTATTTTATTTGATTTTCGGAAAAATCAATTTTTTCAAAAAGAATTGACTTTTTTAATTTTCAGAAAAAATTGATTTATTTTATTTTCGAAAAAAGCTTACTTTTATATTTTTGAAAAAAATTAAATTTTCAGTTTTGGGAAAATTTGATTATTTTTTTTTTTGGAAAAATCGACTTTTTTTTATTTTTAGAAAATACTTACTTTTTTTAAAATAATTTATTTGTTTTTATTTTTGAAAAAAACTGATTTTTTTATTTTCGAAAAAAAATGATTTTTTTTAATTTCAGAAAAAATAGATTTTTTTTAATTTACTAAGTATCAACGGTTTGGTTCAGAACTACTTTGAAATTGGTTAATTGTTTAACGGTTCGGTTCTAGAACCATTACCAAATTATAAATTTGATTCACTAATCATTAATAAGGGATCAGTTATTTTAACTCCAGTTCAATTCGGTTCGATTCGGTGGTTCAGTTTGATTCTATGGTTTTTTTGAACAGCCCTACGCAGAACGCGAACATTGGAGTATACGCAGCCTGAGCACAATACTTTTTACACAACATTGGATTCGGGAAAGTCCAGGTTTGGGCCAAGATAAATGGATATGGTTTTGCAATTAAATATCTATATCAAAAGAGGAATTTTCTCTGTAACTTCAATCATCATCTTCAACAACTTCAATCATTATCATCTTCTTCTGCGAATTCATCATCAACATCAATGTATCATCACCAACAACACATCGACATACAATAACTCATAAATTGAAAGAGAATGGTGAATCTGGGGCGGAGAAGAGAGATGAACCCAAAGGTGGACTGCGACGGACTTGGAGCATCGTTTGAAGGAGACTGAGCGGAATCAGAGAAGACAATCACGTCGAGTTTTTTGGTAGGAAATAGGTGGTACGATGAAGAAGAAGATGTGTGTGAACAATGATATCATTGTTTGCAGAAATAAATGAACAATGGAGAGTCAAGAGAGGAGAAGGATGTGTGGTGGCTACATGAAATATGAAGGAAGTGCTTTTTTTCCTTCCTTTTTTCTTTTTTTCACTCCAGGTCTACTTTTTCATTATTTTGAGAGAGAGATGTGAATGAAATTTTTTATCGAAGAGTGAGAGATATAGTCAATGTGTGAGTTTTGGATCGAGGTGCTATGGTTGTTTGTTGAACTTATCTTTCATAAGTTTAAATATTATGTTTGTTCTTGATGAAGAGGTAAGAATGATGAAGAATATATTAAAATCTTGAAATTCTCATTTAGTGTTCGATTTTCTGTCTATATCGGTCACAAAAATTGAATTTTACATGTCACCTGCCACATCAGCAAAAGTTAACATCGTTATTGATATTTAGACGGAAGGAAGGACCTACTTACTCCGTTTTTAAGACTTGAGAAATTGATTTAAACTTTTAAAAAATTAAGGAATCATAATGGATCCCGAGTAAAAGTTAAAGGATAGAAAATGATTTTTCTCTTCTTTTTTTTTACTGATAACATTGTTAAATCACCTTTCAAAGATTTTTTTTGTCTTAACTCTCGCATTAATCAGAAGGAAAAAAAAAACGTTCAATAGATAATATTAAGATTTATAAATATATATTCCCTCTGTTTTAAAATAAATGTCACATACAAAAAAAAAATCCTAAAATACTTGTAACTTTATATTACCAATACAATTTTATATTAAATTTTCTAATTGTACCTTATAATAAATAATCTTAATTTATTATTTTCTCACTTAGCATTAATAATAATTTGAATAAATCAATAATTAATCAAAATAATTTGATAAAAATACTATTCTCTCTTTTATTTATTACTATTTTTTAATTTGTGTGAAAGAGTCAATTACGACAAATAATATGAAATGAAGAGAGATCTCCGTATAAAAAAATTAATAATCTTTGTAATTATCTCATATAATCCAAGAAAATGATAGATTTAGACTAGAATCAGGTTTTATCCTATTAAGTGAAGTGTTATACGAATAAAATCTCGTCATAATATTTTTCAATATAATGTTTTTATATGATTTTTTATTTTTTAATATTTCTTAATTATTTTTTTCTAGATTTTTCTTTTTTTTTCTTGCTGTTTAACACTTCTTCATATATGTTATCATACACATAACTTATCTAAGTATATTTTCCACTAAATTTTTTACTATAGATGTGATCCCATGTTTTAAAAATATTTTCCAAATTTTTAATTTTATATTGTGTGACATTTCCATTTACACTTATTTTATTTTTGCATTGATTCTAAAGCAACCATCCAACTTGGTCGAAATGAAATGAAAGACGATCTCAGAAATTTTATGTGATACTCAATTATCAATAAAATTAACAATGGTCCTTATTGTTAGGTTTAACTTGTAACTTCATAATTGTGTGCATAAATTTATCATAATTATTCATACTTCACCTACAAACCAAAAATAAATAAATATATGACTTCAAATTTATTTTCTTAAGATATGTTTAAACTTAGTTTAAATGAAGTACTAGTTATACAATCAATTCCTAGTTTTAAACCATTCAACAACAAAACACATTTAATTATTTTTTTCTCTTTAAGGTTATTAAAAATATTCCCATTATTTATTACTGCAGATTTCATACGGGAAGACAACCACTAATAATAGTAGCAGATGCAGAACTGTGTAAAGAAGTAGGAATCAAAAAGTTCAAAGACATTTCAAACAGAAGCACTCCTTCTCCCATTAAAGCTTCTCCACTTCACCAAAAGGGTCTCTTCTTCACCAAGTAACATTTCATATTCCATTATGTTACAGAATAAAATTGATAAGCACATAGAATCACATGAAATGATGTTTCATAGTATATGGTTTTTTACATTTTTCTCAGTGGACTTGCCACTAAGTTTGAATATTACTTTACCTTTTTCTGTTAGTGGCAAAAAACTCAATTCAGAATCATATATTTGTCGGCAGATGTTTACAAAATATCATTTGAAACAGTCTCATGTCACTTTGATCTGCAGGGATTCACAATGGTCTACAATGAGGAACACCATTTTGTCGCTATATCAACCGTCACATCTATCAAGATTAGTGCCAACAATGCAATCATTCATAGAATCTGCCACTCTAAATCTTGACTCAGAAAATGAAGATGTTGTCTTTTCTAATTTATCGCTTAAACTCGCGACCGACGTGATTGGACAAGCGGCGTTTGGTGTCAATTTCGGTCTCTCTGAGCCTCATTCCGTTTGCAACAAAATCAAGAATGTTGGTGATAATGAAGTATCGGATTTTATCAATCAACATATATACTCGACAACTCAACTTAAGATGGATTTGTCGGGTTCGTTCTCAATCATTCTTGGTCTACTTATTCCAATTCTTCAGGAACCGTTTAGACAGGTTTTGAAGCGAATACCGGGCACTATGGACTGGAAAATCGAGCGTACTAACAGAAAACTAGGCGGACGACTTGATGAGATTGTAGAGAAGCGAGTGAAAGATAGAACGCGTAGTTCAAAGGATTTCTTGTCGCTTATACTAAATGCCAGAGAATCAAAAGCTGTTTCGGAGAATGTGTTCACATCTGAATATATCAGTGCTGTTACTTATGAACACTTGCTTGCTGGTTCTGCAACCACTTCCTTTACATTGTCTTCTGTTGTCTATCTGGTTGCTGCGCATCCAGAAGTCGAGAAAAAGATGCTTGAAGAGATTGATGGGTTTGGTTCAATAGATCAAATACCAACTTCTCAAGATCTTCATGACAAGTTCCCTTATCTTGATCAGGTAGTTAAGTCGAATGAACATCCTGAAAAATCGAGAGTGTAGAGAAATTAACTCTTATAATGTTCTATTTAATTAATGCAGGTGATCAAAGAGGCAATGAGGATTTACATTGTATCGCCGTTAGTTGCAAGAGAAACATCAAATGAAGTAGAAATCGGAGGTTACCTTCTTCCAAAGGTAATACATGCTTCTTGTTGCATGATCATTCGTTAATGCTTCAGATCTGTCACTAATGTAGTTTTGTACAAGCAGGGGACATGGGTTTGGTTAGCACTTGGAGTTCTAGCAAAAGATCCAAAAAACTTTTCAGAGCCAGAAAAGTTTAAGCCAGAAAGGTTTGATCCTAACTGTGAAGAAATGAAGAGAAGGCACCCTTATGCTTTCATACCATTCGGAATTGGTCCTCGGGCTTGCATCGGTCAGAAATTTTCCCTACAAGAGATTAAGCTTTCGCTCGTTCATTTATACAGAAAATACTTGTTTCGGCATTCACCCAACATGGAAAGCCCTTTAGAACTCGAATATGGCATAGTCCTTAACTTCAAGCATGGTGTCAAGCTCAGAGTCGTAAAAAGAACAATATGGAGCTCCTAAATAAACTGTTAAGGTTGTACTTGCATACACAGAAGAAGGCCGGAGGATGAGATATAAACTAATATCAGAAATAAGTATTATGAGATAATGTAATGAATAATCATGTCATATACCAAAAATAATGTAAGTTTATGAAATTATAGAAATAATGTAGTGAAAAATAAGATGAAAAAAAATGTTGTTGACAAAGTGTGATTTTCCCATAAAATGAAAATTCATACAGAAAACTCTCCGGACCGAGTATTAATCAAAACTCACAAATGAACAATTATACAAATGGAGGACAAGAACATAAGCTACATCTGGTTCTTCTTGAAGCTAGCTAGTTAACTAACTCGGATTAAATTACACAGACAACAAGATGTTGAATTCTTGGAAAAACAAATAAATAAAGAGATCTTGAGCATCCATGGAGATGTTGAACTTCATTCACCGTGGTCTTACCGAGCTTTTATCCATGTGAGTTGGTAGGTGAAGTGGCCTAGAGAAGTTGAGTGAATGGTCAGAAGCAGCTATACTTCTAGAATCTCCATTAGAGAAACCTGCAGCCCTCCTCATAAACTGAAACTCGTCCATTGATTGCTGCCTTTGAGCTCGGTTATATATTGGATTGTTACCCGATTTTAGCTTTGCCTTGGTTGATTGCGTTAGGTTCATGTAATTTGGCCTATTGTTGTTGCTACTATCCTCAGTCCTTTCATAAGTGTTCCCTGACATTGGTGTTGCGGATGTACAAATAGAAGACGATGCAGAACTCTCATCATACCGAAACTCAGAACTTGGACTTGAGGAAGAACGAGTAGCTTGTCCGATGTGGGGAGGAGGCTTTGCAGAAATCCTTGTTGTAACATTGTTCTTCTTGACATTGACCGAGCATTGTTTCGAATTAGAGCTTACAAAGGGTTCCACGAATTTCTTTGGAGGTGGTGGAGGTGTTTTATCTAAGCTTTCAGCATGGGATTGTTCCATCAATCTTGTCTCCCAAGGCTTGGCTGCCATCCATCTTTCCAACCAACTCCATCCCCCGTTAGCTTTGTTCATCTCGGGATTCTTGAGAGAGGAAAACGAGGCGGCGGTTTGTGAATTAGTGCTTGAAGTTGGCCTGCATTGCTGCTAAAGATCTCAAAAATGTAAGCATCTGAAACTAACAATACTTGAGATGATTCATGAGTTTGAAAACTCTCGGTGACATTAGTTTCTTCTAACAAACAATTTCAGAGACTAAACCGGCCGATCTAAAAGGACTGATAAGTTAAACAAAAACTCATTTTCAAGGACTAAATTGCAATTTACTAACCCAATTTGTTACTAAATAAATTTGTTACCTTCTGAGCAAGAGAGTACGCAAGTGCTCTCTCTCTTTTGAAAGCCCCTTCTTGCCTCATTTGAATCTTGGATTTCACATCTTCCAATGTTCCAATACTATCACACCACCCTTCCTGCACATACACACAAGGAATTTCATAGAAAAACCTAACTAAAACAAAAACTTGTAAAGTTTCCATTGTTGATTCATGATACAAACCTCAGCATCCTTCAAAAGTTCAAGCTTTGTCCTTCGCTCATTGAGCATATTCTGCACAGCTTGTCCCTCCATAGACATCCTCACTCGCCGAGCTCTCACTCGAGCCTGAACACGAACCAACGCCTGCATGCACCTCAATGTCACAGCAGCTTGCTTCCTCACTTGCCTACCTCTAACTAGTGCTTGAATCCTCACCACCGCCTTCAAAGCCCTCAAAGCCCTTCTTGCCTGCACTCACAAAAACAACCCTTACATTCATCATCACAAACAAACATAGTTCCTTCCAACAAACACTTCAATAATACACATAAACACCACAATCAAAGTCTCTAAAATAGATTGAAAAAAACCGAATACCAAGAAGGCGCGGAAAGTGGTTTGGATTCTTATAGCAGCCCATTCTTGCCTGACCAGTCTAAAATCCTTAGGTTGAGCTCTAACAACGGTGGCTACAGCAGCGGTGTAAGCTTCTGCTGCAGTTGGAGATTCAGAGCCTTCAGAAACTGCCTTGTGAGGGTTGCTACCTTTAAAGCCTTTCCAAGAACCGTTATCACCGGAAGAAGTTCTCCATAACCTCCATTTCTTGCTCTTCACACCCTCCTTCGCCTTCAAACAAAAAAGTCAAACTGTTATTTGAGATGCAATGTTGGTAACATAGCAAGTAGTAGTAGAGGTAACTTACATGTTGTTCATCTTTGTCGTGTTTTTTGAGTCCGATTAATGCTTTCACCCATTTTCCAGAAGCACCCATGAGTTTAGTTTAGGTTGAGAATGTGGTGAATAACTGATAGATATTGTCTTTGAATGAAGTGTAATAAAGTAGAGAGAGAGAGAAAGAAGGGTTTGTTTGTAATCGTGGAGATTTGAAATTTGAAAAAACGTGCAACGGACAAAGGAAGTGAAATAAGGTTGTGGTTGTGTTATGTGGGCCCGTAAACTGCCACGTCAGGTTAGGCGGTTTAAATTTTGAGTTTGTGGTGTGGGGTGGGGTCCATTAGAGGGGTGTGATAATTAAGAAATGTAAAGTGTATGAAAAGGAACGAAACGTTTTGGTTTTGGTTTTGGGTGGAAAAAGTGAGATGGGTACTACTGGGGAAAAAGAGAGGGAAAGTTTGGGGGAAGATAGAGAAAATGATGGTTGTATCTATGGGACAAGAGGATCTAGCATGTTTTTAAGAGCAAAAAGCAGGGTGGAATTGAAATCTACAGGTCTCTTATTACTGACGCGGCATGCAGAATTCCAGATTTCCAAGATAATAATCAATGCCCTTTTCATAACACCGCAATAATACTCTTCATTGAATTATTTTTGAGAAAAATTTTAAGGAAGCAAAAGTTCAGTTTTTTCTATATGAAAAAAACATGAGTAACAAATTATTGTATGTTCTAATAAGACATTATTAGGAATTCAACTGATACGAAAAAAAAAATAAAGGAATAGAAGATAATGATTTTATGTAGAGTTTGTTTCTCTTTATAATATATGGAAAATTGTATTCACATGTAATTATAAATTTTGTGAATATAAATTAATTGACTTGATTACAAGAATAAAGATTATTCTCTTTATTTATAGATTTATGTTAGTTTGCTTATTAAGTCAAAGTTCAAAATTATGAAAGTCCAAAATACATATTTTGAAACTAAATCAAATTTATCTATTTTAGATCTAAATCTTAAATTTAAAACTACATCAAATTTATGTGCAGTCTGCTTCGATACACAAGCTCTTCGACTGAACAATAGTTTCCATCGAGCAACCTGCTTCGACAATTTTAACACTTAGACACACATAGTTTCGACACACAAGAATAACAATTTAACACACCACTTAATTTATTTTGTCTAAATTATCTATATTCAGCATAGCTTTTAGTCTTCGAAATGCTTCGACTTGTCCTCCATTCATCATGATGTCTGCAATCTGATTCTCAACTCTGCAGTGTTCCAAGTTCATTTTCCCTTATGCTACATGCTCTCAAAGATAGTGGAACCTCATTTTAATGTGTTTGTTTCGACTGTAGACTATCAGGTACTTCGCTATATTGATAGCTCACATGTTGTCAATTTTCATGGTAATTGTTCCACGATCTTTCCCTGTTATCTCTTCGACCAAGTTCACCATTCAAGTTGTTTGACATGCACAAAGAGAAACAATTATGTATTCTGCTTCGCATGATGATAATGTCACTAGTGATTCCTTTCTCGAACTTCAAGCAACTGGTGTACCACCTAACATAAACACATATCATGTTGTGGATTTTTTATCCTCAACATCACTACACCAACTCGGATCAGGATACTCTACTAACTTGCATTCTTTTCCTTTATCAGCTGCCAAAAACAAAATGCCATAATTGAGATTTCCTTTGAGATACCTTAGTATCCTCTTCGTCGCTGTTAGGTGTGATACATTTGACTTCTCTATAAATCTACTTATCATACCCACGTTGTATGCTAAGTCAGACCTCGTATGACAAAGGTATCTTAATGACCCAATAAGTCTTCTGTATTGGATTGGGTCAACATCCTCTTCTTATGCATCTTTCGACAGTTGCAACCTTGGTTCTGCAGGTGTCGAAGTCGAGTTGCATTCTTTCATCTCAAATTTCTTGAAAATTACTAATGCGTATCTTATTTGATGCATCATCAAACCTCTATTACTCTTCTAAAATTTGATACCAAAGAAGTATGAAATGTCACCTAAATCACGCATTTTGAATTCCTTACTGAGATTACCTTTGAAGTCTTCGATCTCACTTTTGCAGCTACCTGTTATCAACAAATCATCGACATAGAGACATAGTATAAGCAATTTACTATTGCTTCTTCTTACATATACTTTATGTTCAGTTGTGCACTTCACAAACCCAACTGGTTGTTTAACATAAACTTTTTCGTCTAAGGGTCTATTCAAGAGTGCACATTTCACGTCCATCTGACATATGGGCCAACTGTTTATTTCTGCTAGACCAACAACTAACCTGATTATTTCGATCCTAGCCACAGGTACAAAAACTTCATCGAAGTCTATTTCTTCTTTCTGGAGAAATCATTTCGCCACGATTCTCGCTTTGTGTCGAGTTACTTCCCCTTTGGGATTCATCTTCACTTTGTATACCCACTTGACATCAATTATCTTCTTTCCATGAGGCAATTTGACAAATGACCAAGTGTTCTTGTCTTCGATGGATTTCACCTCTTCGTTCATTGCTTTCACCCACTTCAAATTTTTTAATGCTTCAACTGCATTGACGGGTTTGACATCTACATAGAAAGAATAACGCACCAACTCACCTTCGTTATCAACCACATCATCTGATGTAATCACACAATCTTGTAACCTTGTAGGCATGTGTTTTGTCCTTTGAGGTATGTTTTTACTTGGTTGATCTCTAACCTCTTCTTGTTTAACTTCCTTTTGTCGAACTTCTTTTTCGACGTGAGTTTATGGTTCTTCAAGTAAGATTCTCAC